AGAAGAGGATGCATTCACTCGACAGAGACAGGGGAAAGAGTCATCGCCTGTGCCTTGGGGAAGAGACCCAGCAGAGGGATGTCTCAGCAGGGTCTTTGCGAGGACCAGTCAGCCAGTGATTATCAGACATTTCTGCTAGTGAGCAAGCCGGGAGGGGCCCTGTTCTGGAATTCTGAAGGGGAGAAAAACAGTCAGGATATGCTGCTTTCAAATGATTGGTCAGCACCAGGAAGAAAGCCAAACAGTCTGGTGCTAGAACGCTGGTGGGAGGCTCCCTCCAGGAGCAGGTCTGCGATGAGCCCAGAGTGGGGCAGAGGCCTGGCCACCACTGCAGAAGCGGGCAAGGGCCCAGCTTTGAGTGGAGCTTCGGAAGGCCCTGGGGTGGGGTGAGTGGGAAGGGCGGGTTGCTCAAGGAGGGGCGGGGGCTTTGTAAGGGCATGTTTCTCATAGTCAAAGACACTAACCCCAAATGCAACCTTCTTTGTTTCAATGTCATTGAAACAGTCTTTAACAACCTCCTCTTCAGAAAAAGAAAAAAAAATGACCCTATTTGCAGCATTTATCAGTTTCCATGTTGTGAATATTCATAGTGTGGCAGGTGTCAAGCTGCCAAAGGTGAGGTCCACAGACCAAACCAAAGGCAGCACTGCAGAGAACCTGTAAGTCCAGACAGGTAGATGCCTGTGGGAGCAGAGGAGCAGTCAGATGCAAGCTTCATCAAGAAGGGCTGAGTCCTGAGTGCTCATTACCTTTAATTATAATTTGGGAGTTCCAAGTTTATACAATTTTTACGACAGTTGTATTTAAGTTACTGGTTGGAGTCATTCCTGGGACTGTGACATTTGTTTCCTGGTTGCTGGCTGGGTGGCTCATCTGCAGGTCAGGACTTTCATCCAGTGGATCCGTGGGGCTGGGCCTCCTTCCAGGTTCTCCGGGGCCTGGGGTGGCAGCTGAGAGTGGGAGGGAACGCGCACATCTCGTCTCTGTTGCATTCTATTTGCTCACATCCTGAGGAACAGGATGGAAAGGGTGTCTACTTGAGACAGAGAAATGAGCCAGCAGGTGGCACAGCCGAGCAAGTGCTGGGCGGCTTGGCTGGGAGGCTGGGCAGTCGCCAGCTCAGCCTTGGCCTCGCTCCTCAATACCCCTCACAGTGAGTTCTGCACAGCTTCATCTCACAGAGGGGCCAGGAAGGGGTGGGAATGAGGAGACAGAGCCATGGAGGCCAGACTGGGTGGCACCCCCATGACCCAAGGAACTTCGACTTACTTCTGCTGGAACTACAAACGCCATCCCAGGCTGGCACTTTCAGGGAGAGTAGTTGAGACCCAGTGGCACATTCCCGTTAGTGTCAGGCCTGGGAGAGCAGGCCTGAAATGAGGATGGGCTGAGCTCTGGCGGGCTGTCTGGCCCACAGCAGCCAGTCCACTTTCTTTTTTTTTTTTTCATTTATTTTTATTAGTTGGAGGCTAATTACTTTACATCATTGTAGTGGTTTTTGTCATACATTGAAATGAATTAGCCATGGATTTACATGTATTCCCCATCCCGGTCCCCCCTCCCACCTCCCTCTCCACCCAATCCCTCTGGGTCTTCCCAGTGCACCAGGCCCGAGCACTTGTCTCATGTACCCAACCTGGGCTGGTGATCTGTTTCACCCTAGATAATATACGTGTTTCGATGCTGTTCTCTTGAAACATCCCACCCTCGCCTTCTCCCAGAGTCCACAAGTCTGTTCTATACATAGGAGTCTCTTTTTCTGTTTTGCACATAGGGTTATCGTTACCATCTTTCTAAATTCCATATATATGTGTTAGTATACTGTAATGGTCTTTATCTTTCTGGCTTACTTCGCTCTGTATAATGGGCTCCAGTTTCATCCATCTCATTAGAACTGATTCAAATGAATTCTTTTTAATGGCTGAGTAATATTCCATGGTGTATATGTACCACAGCTTCCTCATCCATTCGTCTGCTGATGGGCATCTAGGTTGCTTCCATGTCCTGGCTATTATAAACAGTGCTGCGATGAACATTGGGGTACACGTGTCTCTTTCAGATCTGGTTTCCTCGGTGTGTATGCCCAGAAGTGGGATTGCTGGGTCATATGGCAGTTCTATTTCCAGCTTTTTAAGAAATCTCCACACTGTTTTCCATAGTGGCTGTACTAATTTGCATTCCCACCAACAGTGTAAGAGGGTTCCCTTTTCTCCACACCCTCTCCAGCATTTATTGCTTGTAGACTTTTGGAGCCAGTCCACTTTCTTGATGGTGACACTGGAGCCTGCCTTCCCCAGCCCCACCTGCTTCCCGGGTGATAGTAGCCAAAATGTGGTGGAAAGCTCGGGTCTGCCAGGTCGTCAGCTTTGGGGTCAGGGATAGCCTTCTAATTGAACTGGTGGAGAAACCACCAGTTCACCTGTATCTGCTAGGAGGGAACCTGAGGTCTGGGAAGCTGCCACCATACACAGGAAGAGAAGGATCCTGCATCCAGCCACCCTGGGCTTTCTAAACCCAATCCACCCCCCCTTTCTCTTCCTTTCTCCAGAGCACAGGTCAGTTGTCTGGTGCACTCCACAGCAGCAATCCTGATTCAGAACCTGAGCTTCGTTGGGTTTCTTCTCTGCATGTTGTGTGAGAGCTGGTCTGGTTGCAGGGCCTCCACTGGTAGAGGCCTGGCTACTCTGCTCTCTCCGTGGGGTACTTCCCCTGGGCCCGTGATCACAATCCTATTGTTGTTTAGCTGAAAAATCATGTCCAACTCTTTGTGACCCCATGGACTGTAGCCCATCAGGCTCCTCTGTACATAGAACTCTCCAGGCAAGAATACTAGAGTCAGTTGCTAGTTCCCTCTCCAGGGGATCTTCCTAAGCCAGACACTGAACCCATGGTCTCATGCATTGGCAGGTGAATTCTTCACCACTGCGCCACCAGGAAGCCCCCAATCCTGTTAGCTGTGGTATTAGGATGACCTACTGGGTTCCTGGTCGCTGGCCCAAAGAGGAATCCATTTGGTCATCTGGGAGCCAGGACCCAGGCCAGAAAGGGCTGGTGTACAGCCCTAGGAGGCCCAGCAGATGGGCGGTGTGGGCAGGGCCAGCCTCTCTTGACATAGACACCAGGAGCCCAAGAGGGACTTGGGTCTTCTTCGATAGCAAGGCTGTGAGAGGACATGAGCTGGGCCCAAGGACACAGGAGTCGCCCAGTGCCAGCCAAACCACCAGGATAGGAGCACACAGCAGGCTCCAAGCCACTGTAGGCTGGATGCTGGAGGGGTAGTGGTGGTGGTCGGGGAGGGTGCCAAGGAACAGGAAGTACAGAAAGTGATAAAAAAACACCGCATGGTGCCCAGCCTATAAATGAGCTGGTCAGCAAGCCTGGGTCCGGTGGCTCCTCTTCAGGTTAGGGCTGACAAGCTCTGTTCTGACCCCATATGGCTCATCAGAAACAGGGAATCTGAGTTCCACTGGAGTTGGCGCGCACCATGGACCAGCTGTCTGAGGTGGTGTGAGCCTTTCCCTTCACCTACGGATCCAGTGTAGTCCAGGGAAGGTTGCATGTTTAGGCCTCAGCCAAAAAAGCGGCTACATCTGCTAAGGGTCCTGCATCTCTGTTCTTACTTCAGGAGGAGAGGTCCAGGTCCGAAGTGAAGGGGGTGATGTGCCAAGGTCCTAAGCTTGGAGGGCAGCCTTGTGCCTGCATGAACTGAGCCAGAGCTTAGACACAAAGCTGTGGCTTTAACCAGGGACCAATAGGCTAAGGCTTGGGCTGATGGATCCCAGGGAAGACATGCCTTTTCCCAATTGTTCAGACCTGGCCCCACCCCCAGGTCACCCACTCCGGGAGGCAGGAGGCGAGGCTAATGAGTGCAGCGGCCCCCCCGCCCACCCCGACCGAGGGTACACTCGGTTAGTTAAGCAGGTTACCAGTGACCTCCACAGGCGGTCCTACCAAAGGAACGTATCACAATCAACACAGATGAAGGTGCCAGGGAGAGAAACAGACACAGCGTGTTTATTAGAATGCAGGAAGGAGGCCTTCTTCCCCAGAGCACTGCTTCTCAGAGTCTGTATCAAGAGCAAGACAAAGTTGAAAATTGTATTCCTGAGAAGAAGCAAAAATGGTACAATTTTGCAAACAAACGGGTGGCTTTAACAAATGATTCAAAAAAAAATTTTTTTTAAACAACAAAATTTCAAGTATTATTCCAGATGACACGGCAAACCCAACGCAGGAGGAAAGGCTAAGGACTCGCAGAAGCTACTGGCAGGAAGGGGCTGCTCCGGGCGGGCTGGGGCGTCACCAGGGACAAGCTGCAGCCTGGCCCCAGGCCGCCCCGGCCCCGAGGCTGGGAGAAGTGAGGGCGGACAGCTCGGTGGGCTACGGCTGTGCCAAGGGGGAGCCCTGTGTGTCAGTGACCCACACTCGCCCTTGGCGCTGGGGAGTCCTGGGCGTCTGATGACTTGTTTCATAAACAGAAACATATGCTTATTCTTTCAGATATCAGTGTCTCCAATTTCAGTCAATGTGTAAATATAAATTATATCATTTGTGCTACAGTTCGTGATATTTAAGTCTCATTAGGAGATGAGCACCGAAGCTATGAGAGCACACGTGAGCTGCTGTGCGTCCTGTGGCTGGAAAATTGTGCTCCCTTTCCTCACAGCACAGTGTTTCTGACAAGCTCCCCTTCCTCTCCCAGGACACTCTTCTTGAGGAGAGATTTCTGCTTCGACTGGTTGTGGGACAGATACACAGGGGACGGCTGATGGCTCTTGTTCCGGCCCCAGGGCTCTGGGTACCACAGGTGGGGGGGGTTCTCGCCGAGAGGGTCTCACTCCACAAAAGAAAGGTCACACCAGAGTGCCTGATGCCGAGACCCCAGTGCCTCCTGAGGGGGGGCTGTGAAATGCCCTTAAAATGTCTGTTTTCAGTATTTTCTGAGACACGTGTCACTGACTGCCAACACTCCTGAGCCATCACGGTGCCTCCTTGGACGCTCAGTTCTTGAACCTCGTCTGTTCACAGATGTGATTGAATTTCCTGTGGGGGAAAAAACAGTCAAATCATACGAGAGGGCATCACAGATGCAGTCAGTAAAGGAATTCTGTACTTGCACCCAAAGGCACTACAGGAGACAGTGACCCTGTGCTTGCGGCTTTGCAAAGGCATGTTTCTCATAGTCAAAGACACTAACCCCAAATGCAACCTTCTTTGTTGTTTTTTAGTCTCTAAGTCATGTCTGACTCCTTTGTGACCCCTCCTTTCTAAATGTAAAATATAAGTGGAACATCTGGGTAATTTCCAGAAACTCAGACCTGTGCCTCGTGAGCATCCCCAAGGTACCATGGGTGACCACCTCTCTGAGAAGATGAGGGTACCTTTGCTGCCCCCCTTCCCCACGCTTTAATAGAGCCAGGTTAACCTGTTACTAGTGAAATCTCTTTCTTAGAATAAAATGATCTCTTCCACACAGTTTATGCTCAAATACAAACCAAGATTTTTATTCTACAGAATCACTCTCTCAGGGGCGGCTGCCTTTACCTGAGTCCTCATGATGACTCCTGAACCAGTTCCTTTAATTTGAATCTCAAATGGCTGTTTGGGATCACAGTCACCGCAAACAGCATCAATCCATGAAACTGACTTATGCGATCACTTTCTTCATGGTTTCAAAGCAGAGGCCGATCTACTCCTATGGGCGACCGCACATGGTGACGTGAATGTCAACATGAACAGCCTCTAAAGACCCCGTGGGAAACTCCCAGGGAGAGCTCTAGCCATGGCATCACCACAGGTAGATCCAGGTGCATGGCGACGTGCACATGGCTGTGACTTGGGAAATGGTTCTCAGTGACCACAGCCACGAATTCGGAAAGCCCTCAGGCCTGAACATGTGGGCTGGGGACATGGAGGTAGAGAAGGAGACGAATGTGTGTGGGCAAACATTTCATGAAATGACATAACGGAAGAGCAGAATTTCTAAGTGATGAAGACTTTTTTATATACTACATGACTTTATAAAAGCATGACGACTATTAATGAATTAGTATATTTTTAAGTAGAGAACTGATTACTTCATGAACATCCCTAAAAGCTTCAAAATCAACATGGCCAAAAGATTTAAAGAAAAGCAGTTCCTGTTAGGAAACCGCGGGTTTGTCTGCCTTTCTGCACTCACTCCTCCAGCCCGGCCCAGCCCCCACCCTGCATGCACACTCACATTGCGTGGTGGGCCTTCACCTGAGTCCGGCAGTTGCGGCCCCAATAGCAATCAGGACGGGATGTGACGGCCACTGGGAAGAGAAAAAAACGAACACACGTCATGCATATGTCTACAGACTTGGCCGAGTGAATTTAAGCTGAGAAACAAAGAGACACTGCAGCTGAGACACACAACGCTTTGTCCCACTTCATAGCCTGCTTCCTTGTTCTCCAGGAAAGGAAAAAAATCCTTAATGGAAAATCCAGTTTAGAAATGAGATGATGCCAGTTGCCATCATGTTTCAGGAACCCACCTCACCAATCCAGAGCCTGTGCAGGCACCAGGCAGGGGCGCTAGAGTAAAGTGTGGCCTTCGTGCCCCCACCCACCAGGCTGTGTCCCTGGCCCTGCTGTGAACTCAGAGCAAAGGCCCATACAGGGTATTGAGCTACTGCAAAAGAGTGTGGGAGCCCACGCAAGCAGAACTGAACTGTGGGCCTGAAGGGGCCAGGTGGCTCCTCACCTGGTAGCTCAGAAGCAGGAATGTTCTGCCGATACTGGTAGGTGAGCTCGCGGAAGCTCCGCAGGCCGCAGCAGTAGCACAGCACGGTGTTCCCGGTGATTCTGTAATCTGGAAGGAACACGGCCTCTTACAGGCGCAGCCCGCCAGTGGGTAGCATCATGTGGGGAGCACAGCAGAACAGACGTGGCTTGCACGCTGCTGGGCAACTAATGCACTGATCCATAGACAGGGTGGAGACAAAGGGCTGGGCGTTTGGAAAACAAAAGCAAAACCAACCTAGACACCAACTTATTTCCTTACAGCAAAATTATTCCATCTAGATAAAAAATTTAAATATTTAGGACAATCTAAAAAAGTACTAAGAGGAATGAATATTCTTCTCTTGAGCTATTTCTAACTATGACATGAAAACAAAATGGCACAAAGGAAGGGATTTGTAAATGTGATTGCCTCCAGTTTACACATCACAATGGAAACACATATAACAAAGGAGAAATACTAATGAAACAGTAATGAAATAGTAGAAATGACTGATGTCACTTTTAACACAAATGACAATGTGTTGTACCCTTAATTAACAAAGATTCACACAAATAACCTCCCAAGTCCAAAAATGAACCAAGGACACAGACAAGCATATATATGTCCCATATAAGAAAAAGATTTTCAATTTCATTAATCATCAAACATGGGCAGATAAAATATCCCACCGTTTGCCTATTTCTTATTTACAAGACCTAGAGGGCAAACATTCAGCTGATGGGCTTAGGGGATGCTGGCACTCAGGCCCCAGGGCATGCCTCAACCATGCAAGCCAGTGACAGTAGTCCTGTTTATTATTCTAAGGGGACAACTGTGTTTTTTTTAGGGGTGGGGGTCGGGGTGGGGATGGGGACTGATTGTGAAACCTACAGGACTGCATGCTCGACAGCTTCAGTGGTGGTTCAAACAGTGAAAAGCTGGAAAGAACTTAAATATCCTTTAGTAACAAACTGGCTAAATGAACGACGGTATCAGAATGCTAAGTAATAACAACAAAAAAAAATCAAGGCCTAGATCTTTGTTGACGTAGGAAGAGTCTGAGATATACTGTTGAGTGAATAGGTTATTAAAAGTATATCTGGCAGGATCTCATTTATGAAAATGATGCACAAACATGGGTACATGCACTTAGAAGGGTGGCTGTCAAAGTATTATGACTGGGTATATTTTAGGTGGTGGGATTTCCAACGATTTTCACTTTATCCTTCAGACTTTCTTGTACCACTTACGTTTTCTTTGTGAACCACATCATTCTTATAAAAATAGCCATTAAAAAGCAAAAGAAGTTAAGACCCAACCACATAGAGCTGTCCCAACAGAGAAAACTCAAGACACTATAATGTGTCTGTGAGATAAAATAACTTAGTACCTTTCAAGCCTTTGATAATAATTTATGCATTAGGGGAAAAAAAAAAAACAATCACTCACTGATTTTTCTGCACCCTCCATTAGTGACAAAAGTTCACATTTCACAAAGCACTAGGTGTCCCTGGGAGAGGGGGCGAGCCTTCACTGAGTCACTTGATGCACTGAGGGAGAGGCCAGCAAAGACCCTGACAACCAGCCCTAGAATGTCAATGCTGACCAGTGGTGGGGCCAGCACCTCGCCAGCTGTGCCCCTTCCCTCCACTGTGCAAGAAAAGACTCTGGAACATATCATGTCCAGAGGACCTTTCTGTCTGTCTCTGCCAGGGTGGGCAGAGGTTGCAAGAGTGAACGTGGGAAAGCCAACAAGGCCAGTGTGTGGACAGGCAGGAGGGACTGCTTGGCCAGAGGCAGAGGTGCCCCTGGAAAACACCACCATCAGTGGGGGGCAGGCAGGCACAACAAGGCTTACCAGACAGCAGGAATACTCCCCTCTGCAGAGCCCCAAGGCTCTCAATCAACATGTTTTTCCATGTCAAACCCCTGGTGGCCAGGTAATTCTGTAACAGGGAAATGGGCAAAAGAAGAAACATGAGCTTGGAGAAGAAAACATTAAAATGGCAAAGAGGGAGCTTCTCTGGTGGTCCAGTGATTGAGAGTTCGCCTTGCAATGTCGGGGGACACTGGTTTGATCCCTGGTCTGGGAAGGTCCCACATGCTGCGTGGCAGCTGAGCCCATAGGGCCACAACTACGGAGCCCATGTGCTGCGACTACCGAAGCCCCCACGCTCTAAGCCCGTGCTCTGCAATGAGAGAAGCCATGGCAACAGGAAGCCCATGTAGTGTAACTAGAGAGTAACCCTTAGTCTCTGCAACCAGAGAAAAGCCTTTGTAGCAATGAAGACCCAGCACGGCCAATAAATAAATATTAAAAAAAAAAACAACCCACAAAAAACCAAGAACAAAAACAAACGGCAAAGAGGACTGACATTTCATAAAAGGCCCTGGAAGGTGGGTAGAGCCAAAACACGTAAGTGTGGTGGGCACTTGTAGAGTGTGAGTGTTGCATGAAGTTAGGGGACCTGCTTCCAGCTCAGCTGGGAGGCCTGGATGGCCTGTTGGAACAGGAGGCCTGGGACAGACATGGTCTCACACCCACACACGGAGGCACAAACTTTTCGACCAAGGAGCTTCTTCTCAGTCTCAAAGGGCAGGCTAGCTTTAGAACCTTGAGTGTTAAGAGTTGGCACTCTCTTTCTGAAATTCTGCAAAGACATTCCTACAGCATAGGAGCAGTGAGACCTAATCTTAGCCAGAGCGGCCACAGTGTGGTGACAGGCCCATGACCTCGTGACAAGGAAGCCAGGGTTTACATCTGGGTGGGCTCTGCCCTCAAGACACATGGAGCTGCTTGGTCCTGTCTGTGTAAACCTACAAGAGCGTGCCTGTGAACACCTAGCCAGAGAGCAGTGGGGTGGAAGAGGTGCTGTTCAGATGAGAAGGGCCTTGCCCTGGGGGTGTCATACCGCACATAATTGGGGTGAAGGGAAGACCCCTGGCAAGCAACGCATGTGCATGTTAAACCCTTAAGTTCTAAGAGCCAGCTGCCTCCTGAAATGCATGAAGAGGGCCAGAGGGCAGTCCTGGTTCCACCCAAAGGCCAGCCGCTCCCCCTGCCTGCCCCGGGCAGGCTGAGCAGGAGCTGGAACTGTGTAACACAATTCCTGTGGCTTCTCAGTGTGAAGGGCAGGGAGGAATACCTATCTGAGGGGATACAGGGATAAACAGACATGCAGAGTCACAACACTGGACAGTCCTGGGAGGCCTCCCACTGGCCTCCACCTGGCCTGTACCTTCAGGACGTCTGACTCGTAGTTGTTGTTGCTCAGCACCCCATCCAGACACCGGTCACCCAGGTTGAGTTCTGTTGGGATGGAGGGAAGCAGCATTACCCATTCCATATACACTTTATGAAAGCACTGCTCACCTGACAGGATAACCAAATTTCATTCATTATGGATTCTATGAGGAATGAAAAGTTATGTGACATTATGGTCATGGCGTGGGGGGGGGGGGTAGGGGAGCTGATAGTAAGGAGTTTGGGATGGACATGGACACACTGCTGTATTTAAAATGGATAACCAACAAGGACCTATAGTATAGCACAGGGAACTCTGCTCAATGTTATACGGCAGCCTGGATGAGAGAGGAATTGGGGGGAGAAAGGATACATGTATATGTATGGCTGAGTTCCTCTGCTATTCAACTGAAACTATCACATTGTTTGTTAATCAGCTATATCCCATAATGAAATCGAAAGTTTAATAAAAAAAAAGTTCTGTGATGAAATGTAATTTCAAACAGAGAAAAAGTAAAAGGCATTCTATTCCACTCCCCCCAGAAATGGTCCAGTCTGCACAGTCCCTGGTCTGGTGTTGTGAAGTCCAGACATATGTTTTTAGTGGGGGTGGTCCTTGTGCACGGCTCAGAGCTCCCCTGTTGCTGTTACTGCTAGCTTGGAGCCAACACTCACTGACACCTGCAAACCTATGCAGACCTCCAGGAAAAGGCAGCTGATTCATGACGACCAGCGTGGCCTTTGCCTGCTCAGGCACACAGCCAGCCCACCACTGGCCTCAGGTGCACCAAGCGAACGAGGAAAGGTGGTGGCGATCCGTGGTGGGGCTGGCATTACCGCAGAACGGGGCCAGGCAGCCGAGGCAGCCAGTCCGGGCACAGCCCCAGTATAGGTGGCAGAAGGGCTGCAGGCAGATGGCACCTGTGGACACAGAGCACATGCACCAGTCACGCCACACGGCGAGGAGGAAGTTCATGTAACCATTAAATAAATGACACGCTCGATTTTCACCATCATCTGGAAACTGTCAATGTGCCGTATAGTTCAGCTGTTAGATTTTAAAATGACACCTTGGACCAGGTTCAATCCTTGCTCGGGGAACTGAGATCCAACAAACTGTGCAGCCAACAGAATAGAATAGAATGAGACACTAGAGAACTACTGGGGTGATGTGTCAGATACAGGATCTAGAAAGAGACTCCCCTGTGTATCAACTGGTGACCAAAGATAAGATTATCAACACAGTCCTGCAGGGATACGTGATGACACAGGTGGAAACACAGAACTGTATCTTTAGCTCAAATCACACACAAAAGTCCATGACACTTTGAAAACCAGGCTGGAAGAACACAGAGGAGTGGCTCTGAGGTGGGGAGGGGCCCCAGGCAGATGGTGTACACACACACCCACACCCTCACTCACACTGCTGGGGGGCGATGCGGGGGTCCCGCTCGCGTTCCGCCCTCCGGTCGGGCATGGGCTGGAAGCAGCAGGTGCATATGGCGTGGCTTCCTTGCAGGGCGCACACGTAGTCCTGGGCTGTGGGACAGACAGGCCGCTCAGGCTGGTGCTGCCAGCGCTGTAGCAGCAGCACGAGTGGTTCAGCCACACCTGGAGGGGCAGCTACAGGATACACAAGAGGACACAGACCTACAGGAAAACCTGGACAGATCTCAGGCCAATTTTCCTAACAGCCAAGTAACGGTCTACCACTCCAACTAAAAGGTTTAACGATGGAAAAGTGACCGAAGCTATCTTTTGGTTCAGTAGCTAGAGCAAGATTTCAAAGGTCACTTGAAGGTTTTCTAGTATTTCCTGTAAAGGAAGGACAGATCACAAAACAATAAAGTGATTTCTCTAGTCTCTGCTGGCTAACTCTGCACCAGGAGCTGTGTCAATGTGGCCTGGCCCTGGTCACTCATGCACCACGTGAGGCTCTGTCTATGCACTGGCCATGGTCACAATGGGGCCTTCCATGCATCGCCCTGGCCATCCCCACCTGTAGGGGCCTACAAGGACACCCCCGAGAGCCATGGCACAGCACATATGGTAGATAGTTAAGAATGTGGCTCTGGGTCACAATCACGAGGTCAGTGGCCTCTAGACAGGCTCAGGCTGACAGTGGCAAGGAGGCCAGGCCCTTCAATGTAGGGCCACAAACCACAGTCCACACGTTCACTTGCCCTTTCTTAATGGCACCTAGGAACTCACCCACTGAAATGGACAGTGAACAGACAATTCAGGGCAGCTCTGGTAACATCATGTCCTGTTGCTGGAAAGAAGCCAGTCCCTCACTGGAGGGGCCCATGTGTGATGGTCACTTCGGCTTTGGCAAGTATCCCAGGGCATGCTGACTGCCCCAAGGTAGTAGAGGGGAGGGGTGGGGAAGGGTAAGTGTCAGAATTAGGACTGTGTGTTCAAGAGCAGAGATCCACAAATAGAGCTGATTATCTGGTTCTTAGCTCATGAAAAGCAACGAGTTATCTGAGCAGAGAAGAGCCAGCAGAAGCACCACCTACACCCGGAACGGTCAGGACAGCAAGGAGGGAGTGGCCATCTCACCTGCCGTGACGTTGGCGGATGTGGACGGTGCATCCCCGGGGGCCTGCGGTGCCCCTGGCTCGCTGCCGGGCCCTGGGTAGGGAAGGGGCTGCCCCGCCTGCCTGCGGTACTCAGGGCACTGTCTGCACACGATGGACGGCTGGCTGCAAGAAAAGCACAGAGCTCGGGGGGTTGAGATGACAGCCGCTCTGGTTGGTGTGTGAGGCTGAGGGCAGCGACAACAGCCCCAGCCTGAATGACAAGCCAAGACCCAGACCCCAGCTCATTGGCCTCTTCCCCCCTCCATGTCTCAGCTCTGCATCAGCTGCTGGACCTGGTGTGTGCAAAGGGCAAGGACAGCTGCCCTCATCTGGCACTGGCACCCCCTACACTCACCCTGCAGAGCAGCAGTCGAAGGCTCTGCTCCCTGCCACCTCCCAGCCCCTCTCTTCCCGTACTTCTCCAGCGCTCTCTCCCTCAGACACTCCTGGGGTCTGGAGACATCTCCTGCCTGCCCCTCGCCCCCCTGAGCCATCCCCTGGGAGCCGTCCTGTCCCCACACTGGGCAGGATGCCCTCTCGCAGGGCTGAGGCCACCCAGTGCACACCATTCCCCTCATTAAAATCTGAGAATGTGCCAGGGCGGGAGGCCGCTGTCCACAGGGGCTTTCAGCTGTATGCTCTTCAGCTGAGCCTTCAAACCTGCAGACGGTAAAACACAATCCTCAGGAAAGGCACATGTGGACTCCCCTCTGGTCTCAGTCAGAGGATACCTGCCCAAGTCTGCCACCCATGGGAAGGACAGGCAAGACACGACTAGAAAAGGCAGAAATGCTGAAAAGATGCTCAGCCATGTTTGTAAGAAAAACATGTAAATGGGAATAAATTATCTGCCTGTCCCAATACCCCGAGTGTCTCGGGGATCACTGCTGTCCCTCCACACACCCTGGGGAGTGCTGCCACCCGCACTCAACAGCGGGCATTTGATGACAGAAGTACAGCAAGGTATCCTCTCACTGAGACTTCTGACATGAATATCCTACTTCCGCATGCTTATCTCCAAGAAATAACTTGACATGTGCACTAAACTGTAAACACAGAATGTGCATTGCGGTTTTGTCCCAGGATTCAAAAAAATATTACCAAAAAATGCCTTAAATGGTAAAAAAAAAAAAAAATTAAGTATGTATGACTACACGTGTGTATGACTGGATGAATATATAATAAAAACTTCACACTAAAGTGATTTTTGGTTTTCTTTGTGCTTGAACATTATGTGCTAAATTTTGTGAAAAGAGACAAACTGGGGGTGGGGGTTTGTCTTTTTAAATATTATGGCCTCGACACAAAAATTCACACCCTGGACTTCTAAGTCAGGAGACATCAGCCGATAAAATAAGGTCTCCTAGGGCTGCATCCTGTCAACCAGGTGGCTGTGGCTTTTCTGCAATAATACCCTGACAGATAAGTAACGCAAGTGAAACTCTAGGACGTATGTTCACTAGGTAAGCTGCGGAGACCGAGTGTGCTCATGTGGTATTTATATCAGCTGGTGAATCAAGGCGCTTGAGGACTCAGCAAATGAAAGAGTATCATTTCCTGTGGTCAGTCTCTCACAGCAATTAAGCCCAAGCATATGCTACACACCCTGAACTTCTATAAGGCTGCATGTCAGTTACATCTTAAAAAACTGGAAAACAATACAGGTAAACAACAAAAAAATAGAGTAAATGTTCCACTGCATAACAAAAGAGGAAAAAGAGGCTATCACAGGAGGCAGGGCAGTGGGCAAGCCTTACCACGCTCACCTGAGTGAGTGGCATGCTTGGCACAAGGCAGGCAACACGACTGCCGGGCTGCGCCTCAGCAGTGGCCTGGACCAGCAGGTCCTGGGGGGCGGTCAGACTGGGGCCGCCCACCCCACTCCAGGCCCAAAGGGCTCACCTGACGTCCGAGGCCTCGCTGTCCACGTCCGACAGCTCCAGCAGGTCCTCGGAGCTGCCCTCCTCGTCGGAGAAGGCCCTCCTGACCTTGGGCTGCAGCATGTCCTGCGTGATCTTGTTCCTGGCGGCCATGCTGCGCAGGTCCTCCGCGCTGCGCCTCTTGTCTGGGTGCTGCAGCAGGTACGCCTCCACCAGGTTGTTGAGGATGTGGTTTTTACAGATGCGCTCGACCGGACAGCGGCAGGTGGGGCACAGGGCAGAGCGCTCCATCCAGCCCGAGTAGCAGGCAGCGCAGAAGGTGTGCATACAGGGCTGCAGGCTAAGGGCACACGACGGGCTGTAGAGGCCTGGGGGCACTCGTGGGCGAAGCGTCTCCCCAGCAAGTACAGCAGCCCCTCGGATGCCAGGGCCCCAGGGGCACGGCTGGCCTGGGGCGTGAGGAGCAAGGCCCCAGGGTCATGCTGCCTCTTTCCTCGGAGGAGGAAATGGTCCTGCTCAGACTGAGGTTCGGGTACAAAACAGAAAAATGAGCCAACTGCCCATCCCCAGCCCCCACGCTCTTTTGCCTCAGCAGGGCCTCGAGGCTGTGCTTCCTGGGCATTCCACCCATACCGTGTGTGAGGTCTGCTGCTGGGGGAAGTCACCTGCCTTCCAAAACCCGCCGGAGAAACAGTCCCTATGCAAAAACATGGCACCCACCTCAACTGCTCTAACTCTGTGCCTGTCAACTACAAGAAGCTAGAGAAAAAAAAAAGAAACTAGGGGTCACATGGCACCCCAGGGAGGATCAGGGAGGAAGAGTGGAGACACAGGGTGTGGGTGGAAAGGACACGCATTTCAGCTGAACTTCAGACAGATTAATTCCAAGTTCCCACAGAGAAGCAAGGAGTGATCTCCATTCTGGGAGGCTTGCTCCATGCTAACCGCCAAGCTTCCTTTGCCAGGAGATACCGAGCCCTCGGTGCAGCTCTCCTGCTCCTCCTGAGGCCAACCCGAGGTCAGAGCCACCACACCTCAGTCTCTCAGGCTCCTCTGAAGCTTCAGTCAATGGCCCGGTTTCTGGCTCATCGGCCATCCAAGGAAAATGGCTATGGCACCCTCAGGGAGTGCAGCCCCTGACCTGACCCTAAGGTCCGCCCCACCCTTGGCTTCCCACAGGACCCCACTTGGGCGCACCTCACACAGTCATGCAGCAGGTCCTGGCAGATGATGCACGTGAGTGTCTCCTCCATCTTGTCTGGCTTCATGGCCTCAGCTCTGACGTCAAGGGCAGCGGGAGGGTCTCTGCCTGGGTCTGTGACCAGTATGGGTAGGTTAAGGTCTGGCTCCCCATCTGCAAGGGAAGGGACACATTCTGACCATCATGACCATGGAGGCAACATGACTCTTGGATTTATAGATGTCTTAAACTGTGGACAAAAGACCCCGTCCTCCGTGTATTTCAAAGGGTATTTTTAAGAAGGTTCAAAATAAGTCTCATAATTTGGTATATTTAAGTTTTGTTTTACAACAGTTAATAGTGTAAGAAGACACTCAGGATACATAGGTAAGAGAAAAGGCCAGTTGTCAAATAGCATTTGTGTATGAAGTCATTTTTGTTTTAATAAAAAAAATGTGACTCATATGCATACAGCAAAGTGCTGGAGAATACAGACCATCAGATGTTACCAGGAGCACTGATAAACCTATTTGCAGGGCAGGAATAGAGACAGAGGCCTAAGAGAGACTTGTGGACACAGTTGGGGAAGGAGAGGTAGGGCGAACTGGGAGAGTAGCATTGATGTATCTTACATGTTACCATATATAAAATAAATAGCTAATGGGAAGCTGCTATGTAGCACGGGGAACTCAGCTGGGTGCTTCAGTGGTGACCCAGATGGGTGAGATGGGGTGGGGGGGTGAGTGAGAAGGAGGCTCAAGAAGGATGGGATATATATGTATATACAGCCGATTCACATTGCTGCACAGCAGATACCAACATAATGTAAAGCAACCATACTCCAATTAAAAAATAATTAAATTTTTAAAATGTTACCAGGAGCTTAAAATCGTTTCTTTTTTTTTTGCTAGTGTGTTTTAATTTTTCTATATCACAGAATAATTTTTAATTTATTAGAGAGATATGATTTAAAAAGTCAAATATTTAAAAGAAAACAAAACGGGTAGACAGGGAGGTGGGAGGGGGGATTGGGATGGGGAATACATGTAAATCCATGGCTGATTCATGTCAATGTATGACAAAAACCACTACAATACTGTAAAGTAATTAGCCTCCAACTAATAAAAATAAATGGGAAAAAAAAAAAAAGGAAAACAAAAGCAGCAGCCCTCTGCCCCAGCCTCTGCTCACCTTCACCATCCCCTCCTCCTCTGAGGAAAGGGCTTTCTTTCTTCCTAATAGTGTCTTTTAGCTGTTTCTTCTGGTCCCAGCCTCTGTGTTTCTGGACTGTCAACGCTACATTTAGGCTGAAGATTTTAGGTATCATCTCCTGATATCCATTAAAACAGAGAAGGATTTTGCCCTCTGAGTAGCCGTCCCAATATTATTCTAACACAATTATTGGCTCAGTATATTGTTTGTATATTATTATGCTTAAATAGTCTGTTCAGTCAAACAGCCTATTAGAATTTTCTTCCTTATATAATTTTTCATTTCTGGTAATTCAAAATGGCTTCATTTTTACATACTTGTTTATGTATCTGTTGTCAACTGTTGGACTGGACTTCTAAGGCAAGAATCCCTTAGAAGAAACGGAGTAGCCATCATAGTCAACAAGAGAGTCCAAAATGCAGTACGTGGATGCAATCTCAAAAACGACAGAAGGATCCTTGTTCGTTTCCAAGGCAAACCATTGATATCACAGTAATCCAAGTCTATGCCTTGACCAGTAATGCTGAAGAAGCTGAAGTTGAACGGTTCTATGAAGACCTACAAGACCGTTTAGAACTAACACCCAAAAAGATGTCCTTTTCATGATAGGGAACTGGAATGCAAAAGTAGGAAGTCAGGAAACACCTGGAGTAACAGGCAAATTTGGCCTTGGGGTACAGAAGGAAGCAGGGCAAAGACTAATAAGAGTTTTGCCAAGAGAACGCACTGGTCATAGCAAACACCCTCTTCCAACACCACAAGAGAAGACTCTACACATAGACATCACCAGATGGTCAACACCGAAATCAGACTGATTATATGCTTTGCAGCCAAAGATGGAGAAGCTCTATACAGTCAGCAAAAACAAGACCGGGAGCTGACTGTGATCATGATCTCCTTATTGCCAAATTCAGACTTAAATTGAAGAAAGCGGGAAAACCACCAGACCATTCAGGTAGGTATGACCTAAATCAAATCCCTTAGGATTATACAGTGGAAGTGACAAATAGATTCAAGGGATTAGATATGATAGACAGGGTGCCTGAAGAACTATGGATGGAGGTTAGTGACACTGTACAGGAGACAGGGATCAAGACCATCCCCCAAAAAAAGAAATGCAAAAAAGCAAAATGGCTGTCTGAGGAGGCCTTACAAATAGCTGTGAAAAGAAGAGAAGCCAAAAGCAAAGGAGAAAAGGAAAGATATGTCCATCTGAATGCAGAGTTCCAGAGAAGAGCAAGGAGAGATGAGAAAGCCTTCCTCAGTGATCAGTGCAAAGAAATAGAGGAAAACAATAGAATGGGAAAGACTAGAGATTTCTTTAAGAAAATTAGAGATACCAAGGGAACATTTCATGCAAAGATGGGCATAATAAAGGACAGAAATGGTTTGGATCTAACAGAAGCAGAAGATATTAAGAAGAGGTGGCAAGAATACACAGAAGAACTATATAAAAAAGATCTTAATGACCCAGATAACCACGATGATATGATCACTCACCTAGAGCCAGACATCCTGGAATGAGAAGTCAAGTAGGCCTTAGAAAGCATCACTAAGAAAAAAGCTAGTGGAGGTGATGGAATTCCAGTTGCGCTATTTCAAATCCTACAAGATGATGCTGTGAAAGTGCTGCACTCAATATGCCAGCAAATACGGAAAACTCAGCAGTGGCCACAGGACCGGAAAAGGTCAGTTTTCATTCCAATCCCAAAGAAAAGCAATGCCAAAGGATGTTCAAACTACTGCACAACTGCACTCATTGCACATGCTAGCAAAGTAACGCTCAAAATTCTCCAAGCCAGGCTTCAACAGTACGTGAACTGTGAACTTCCAGATGTTCAAGCTTGATTTAGAAAAGGCAGAGGAACCAGAAATCAAGTTGCCAACATTCGTTGGATCATCCAAAAAGCAAGAGAGTTCCAGAAAAACATCTATTTCTGCTTTATTGACTATGCCAAAGCCTTTGACTGTGTGGATGACAAGAAACTGTGGAAAATTCTTAAAGAGATGGGAATACCAGACCACCTGACCTGCCTCTAGAGAAATCTATATGCAGGTTAGGAAGCAACAGTTAGAACTGGACATGGAACAACAGATTGGTTCCAAATCAGGAAAGGAGTACATCAAGGCTGTACATTGTCAACCTGCTTATTTAACTTATATGCAAAATACATCATGAGAATTGCTGGGCTGGATGAAGCACAAGCTGGAATCAAGATTGCCAAGAGAAATATCAATAATCTCAGATATGCAGATGACACCACTCTTATGGCAGAAAGTAATGAAGAACTAAAGAGCCTCTTGATGAAAGAGAAAGAGGAGACTGAACAAGTTGGCTTAAAACTCAACATTCAGAAAACTGAGATCATGGCATCTGGTCCCATCACTTCATGGCAAATAGATGGGGAAACAGTGAGAGACATCTTTGGGGGGGGCTCCAAAATCACTGCAGATTGTGACTGCAGCCATGAAATTAAAAGATGCTTACTCTTTGGAAGGAAAGTTATGACCAACCTAGACAGCATATTAAAAAGCAGAGACATTACTTTGCCAACAAAGGTCCATCTAGTCAAAGCTATGGATTTTCCAGTAGTCATGTATGGATGTGACAGCTGGACTAAAAAGAAAGCTGAGCACTGAAGAATTGATTGTTTTGAACTGTGGTATTGGAGAAGACTCTTGAGAGTCCCTTGGACTACAAGGAGATCCATCCAGTCCATCCTAAAGGAAATCAGTCCTGAATATTCATTGGAAGGACTGATACTGAAGCTGGAACTCCAATACTTTGGCCATTTGATGTGAAGAATAGACTCATCTGAAAAGACTGTGATGCTGGGAAAGATTGAATGTGGGAGGAGAAGAGGATAAGATGGCTGGATGGCATCACTACTCAATGGACATGAATTTGAGTAAACTCTGGGAGCTGGTGATGGACAGGGAAGCCTGGTATGCTGTAATCCATGGGGTTGCGAAGAGTCAGACACGACTGAGTGACTGAACTGAACTGAACTGAACTGAATGTATCTGTTGCCAATTCATTCCACACCTTCCCAGGTCAATCAACTCATTTTCTACTCAATACACTAGACAATACAGTTTCTTTCTAAGGCCCATCCTCCTTCCCATCACACTGCTCCAATTCACGGGTGGCCCTCAGGTCTGCCTTACAGCTACTGTCTTACCAACTACATTCCCAAACATTTTTTACAATCTTTTTAACTTTGGCTTTTAAAGCATAGATTTTTCTCTAAACTGTCTTTAATGTGAAGTTTCAAACTATCACTTAAAGATAACATACTCTTAAAAATTGGCTGTTGTATCAGGGCAGAGTCGCAAACTCAAGAATACAGTTTCCAGGGGCTTCCCTGGTAACTCAGTGGTAAAAAATCCGCCTGCTAATGCAGGAGACATGGGTTCAGTTCCTGATCTGGGAAGACCCCTGATACCACATAACAGCTAAGCCCGTGCACAACTACTGAGCCTGTGCTCTGGAGCCTCAGAGCCACAGTGACTGAAGCCCGCAAGCCCCAGAGGCTGAGCTCGGCAATGAGAAGCCACCACAGGGAGAAGCCCACACATGTCACTAGAGAGTACCCTGATTGCTGTAAGCAGAGAAAAGCCTGTGTAGCAACGAAGACCCAGCACAGCCGGAAAAAAAAGTATGCAGTTTGCAGACTGATAGCATACCCTGACAGTAAACACAATTCAATCCCAATGGTACAAACAGGGAACAAAGGGCCCAGGCTGCCATCTGCTGTCAGCCTAAGACAGCATCCTCAGGCTTTGGCAGACGGTGGGGCCCCAACAGGTGCAGATCAGATGGTTCTGCTGGGGCCCTGAGGTTACATGAAACCTCAAGATTCTGACCTGCTTTTACTCTCTTCTTAACAGGCTCCAAATCCTCCTGATCCTGGGGTTCCGAAAGAGAAAAGGAAGCCCCCTCTCTGTCTGGGAGAGTCGAAGGGAAGCTGGAGAATTCATCACTTGTCACAGATGGACCACACCCCTTTGTAGAGACGTCTGCACCTCTGGAGCCTGTGAGAGGGACAAACAAGAAAGTCTGATTCACCTGCCTCAGGAGAAGAGACAGCAGATCGAAGTGTCACTGATTCGAACTAGGCGCAGATGACGCAAGATGCTGTTAAAAAATCCAGAAAACTGGAAGGGTTCATTCTATGAGATTTTTACATTATATGAATTACATAACCTGTAAAAAACACCACACTGCTATAGTCCCCTATCCCTAGGCTTTCTCTTGAGGATGGAGCAAGACAGCAACTGCTAGAGAAACCTTACTACTGACAGTCTGATGCCTGACACCACCTCTGAACTCCTCAGTGGTTTGTCTGTCTCTGTAACAACACAGGGCAGGACTAGTGAACAGAAAGCGCTGCAGCTACCGCCCCGAGACCCCCATTCTCACTGGAGCTGGAGGGAGGCCCTCGGCCTGCAGAGGTGGGCTCCATGGAAGAGGTAGAGGCCGTGGGGAAGAGGTCCGACGTGGACGTTGATGGCTGTGGTTCCTCAAAGCACACCTGAGTGGCGGGCGATGACAGCAGGACCTGGGGATCCTGAGGATCGTCACCTCGCACTGCACCTGAGGTATCTTTGGTCACGTGGAACATATTTTCTTTATTAGCTTCTGTGAGCACAGAAGGAGCAGGAGGAAAATACAGTCAGGGCACAGATGGGCACCACCGCCTCAGGCAAGCTATCCGTGTTGACGGAGACAGTCAACACACGGACCCACTTTACACACACCCACTCCTCGGAAAATCCCACTTACCAAAGGAGTCTTGTGTTACACCTTGCTTTTCATTTAGAGATTCGTAGAGGTATGCCACGTCTAAAAGAAATTAACCAAATCAGAGCACTGTCAGTCACGTGCCAGGTGAGAACTCACATTTCTCTTCTGTTCCCTCCCACTACCTCACAGTCACTTTGTCCTTGTCGACTATTTTGACTTCTCAGCTAGTAACCACAGCTGCCAGTGTAAGGGAATTTAAAGCAAGTGATCCCAAACATCTGAACCAAAGCCAAAATAAACAAGCCTCAAGAAACTCATCTGGCAAGAAGAGGCTGACTAAGGGAAGCAGAGCAGCAAGGAGGGATGAGTCTATGCCTCGCTTATTTCAAACCACCAGAAGCAGACACGAGATCCTTCTGTGTGGCCACAGGTGGCTTTGACTATGCTGAGGACAACCTGGGGAACAGCCGCCCCCTTCTTCCTATTTTGGGGGCACCATGTGAAGGACTTCCCTAACTCTGTCCTGCATCATTCTTCTTCCACAGACACAAACGTGGGTGCTCAGATCAGGACAAGCTCCAGTAGAATCCTGTCTGACCTCTGCTGTCTACTATCCAGTGTCCCAAAGCAGAGCCATCTGTGGGTTCCAGCCCCCATTCTAGCTCTTGGTCTCAGTTTAGGGGTCTTCTTCTGCCAGCGCACCTCTCCCCATTCACTCACCTCTCCTTGGCTACCATTTTGAGACCCGTGGCTCATGACCACGGTGGCATTTCTGAAGAATGGCTCAGAAACTGCAAGGCCAACACTCCCATTCTTCAACAGACACTACCCACACCAAGAATCCACATAAACACAAAAGGGATGCAGGGAAGCTAACATTCCTTCAGGAAACACTGGCCTCAAAAAGCCTCTTCCCACAGTGCTTTCCAGCTGTTGCAGGGCCCCCGGACACACCTCACCTGTGGGTCCAACCCAGGAAACCCCCCTCTTACTGTGTTCTGGCTCATTCTTCCTGTACACCAAGTAGATGACATCCCCAGTCTGTAAAGGGCAAGTTTGCTTCTTAACAACCTTCAGCTTGTTAATGACAGTTCCATTGGCGCTGTAAGAGCAACAAAATGGAATTTATCCTACTTAAAATAACTTGGAGTTAAAAGTTTCCTTTTCTACAACCAGTAGGAAAGCAGTTCAACATTATCAATTTATTATTTTTTTTAATTTCAAAAAGTTTTTGGCAGTGGCGCACAGTACATGGGATCTCATTCCCCAACCAGGGACTGAACTGACACCGCTGGCACCAGAAGTGTGGAGTCTTAATCACTGGACCAACAAGGAAGTCCCTACCACTTTGAAAATGATAAATACTCATAGGAATAATATAAACATTTGTGCCACCTTACAGTTCTCTCAAGAAAAACCTTGCCTGTTGCTCTGTCACTCATAGCCAAATGTTGTCATCAAGTGTTTGAACGTCTCTACTGTTCCAAACTCATGTTCTCCTCCTGGTGAAGCCCTAGAATCCACCAGCAGCATGTGCTTTGACTTCCAGCTTCTCTTCTGCTTATGCACCAGACTCCGTCCACAGACCTACCCCTCGCTCCAGCAGCCTCAGCCCCTCTCAGTTCATTCCTCACATGAGCACCGATGCCCACCATGAGACAAGCTCTGCGTGCTAAGTCGCTTCAGTCGTGTCCGACTCTGTACAACCTTGTAGACTGCAGCCTGCCAGGCTCCTCTGTCCATGGGATTTCCCAGGCAAGAATACTGGAGTGGGTTGCCATGCTTTCCTCCAGGGGATCTTCATGACCCAGGGATCAAACTCATATCTCTTATGTCTCCTGCATTGGCAGGCAGGTTCTTTACCACTGGTGCCACCTGGGAAGCCCTGAGACAGGCTCTGGGCAGAAGCAAATCAACACACAACTACCGACGACAAGATGACAGTGTGGTTCCTGTGCTCGGGAGGCCACTCCAGTTAATCAGGGACCATGGGCTTTCCTTGGTGGTCTAGTGGTTGAGAGTCCGCCTGTGAATGCAGGGGACACAGGTTGTATCCCTGGTCTGGGAAGACTCCGTGTGCCATGGGGCAACTAAGCCTGTGTACCACAACTACTGAGCCCGGTCTCTTAGAGTCTGTGTGCCGCAACTATAGAAGCGGAGAAGCCCCAAGCTCCACAGCAAAAGAAGCCACTGCAATGAGAAGCCCACACAGTAAGGAAGAGTAGCCCCCACTCGCCACAACTAGAGGAAGCCTGGTACAGCAACGAAGATCCAACAGAGTCTAAAATAAGCGAATAAATATTAAAAAACCAGGGACCACCCTGCTGGGCGGGAGGGCAGCGGGCACTACTGGGAGAGACAGAAGCCTGAGTCAGACGGGACAGGTGGGGCCTCCCTGAGGAGGGCCTCCTGAGTGGACAGAGGCCACACAGCCACCGAGGGGAAGAGCGCCCCTGAGCTTAGCCAATTGTGGGCGCTCACCCCATGGCTGCACTCTTAAGGCCCCCAGGGAGGAAGAGGCTCTAGCCTGGCCTCTGAGCAGGCTTCCACTACCCTAGATTTCTGTTTAGGGCCAGACAGTAAACAGTGCGGGCAGCGCTGTCACACCGTCTCTCTTCCGAGTCCTCAGCAGCTGGCAGGGTCCCCGCAGGGCTGGGCTGCCTTCCCAGTAAAAGCCCACTTACAGAGACCGGCAAAGCTGTCTCAGCACAGCCACGGCTCCGCTGCCAGGCTCTTCTCAAGATCCATCCTCAAGCTCCTTCTAACCCAAAAGCCTGATTTCACTTTTCTGCTTAAAAAGTGAAAGGGAAGCCACTCAGTCGTGCCCGACTCAGCGACCCCATGGACTGCAGCCTATAGGCTCCTCTGTCCGTGGGATTTCCAGGCAAGAGGACTGGAGTGGGCTGCCATCGCCTTCTCCAGGGGCGCTTAAACCCCTCGGAGACTCCTTACTGTTCTCAGGCTAACGTCTGCTCTCTCCAGCATGGACGCCGGGGTCTTCCTGCTGCCGCTTCTGGGTCCCTGCAGCTGCTGTTCCTTCTGCATGGAACACCCCTGCCCCTCCAGCCACCTTGGCCAAGGGAGGCAGTGGCTTCTGGAAGCCGGGACAGAAGACAGCTTCCCTCTAGAGCCTCCAGAGAGAGCTGACACCAATGAGACCTGAGGTGGACTTTGGGCCCCCAGGCCTATAAGATCCCAGATTTCTGTTGTTTTCAGCTACTGAGCTTTTGGTTATTACAACAGTATAATAGCATAATCCCATTAATACAAAATAAATATGTATACCTTTTCAGTGGGTGAGTGCAATTTGGAAAGCTTTTCACTTTCACACACTACTTATGTGGTGTAATAGTAAAAAAGAAAGGCAAACCTCTTTATTTGGGGAAGTCTAACTTGCATATGTTTGTAAACACCCAAAATGTATCACTCCCTTTTAAGTCTTATTTCTGAGACATTTTTGCTTTAATCTGAAAATATTCAAGAACTGTCACAGGCACCAGTGTCACCAAGTAGCCCATCCTAGAAACCAGAAAATATATCTCCCAATACCCAGAGACCCGAGCAGACTTCTGATCTTAGAAAGGGGGTCTATGTCTCTTCTCTGCAGTCACTGGCTAAAGTTGCCTTCCTGAAGCTACAAGAGGAAATAGGGAAGAAGTTCAGAAAGGGCTTACCTGGTATCTTCCAGTGATACCTGACCAGATTTTTCATCCACTGTAATTTTACAGTGATCTCCAGAGACCAATTTATTGCCAGGGAATGAAAGGTCACAACCTAAAACAGAGAGGGAGGTGTGCAGAGAAGGGGAATACAACTGTGGGTACTGGGCACAACACTACACTTGGTTTAGTGATATCAAACGACCAGAAGTCAAGACCCACTAAGTCAAGACCCAAAAAGCATTTAAGTGTTAATCCAAAGGGAAAAGGGTCTATGTCTTGAACCTTTCTGCTTCCTCATTACCCAGAGGATATACCCCATCAACACCTCTAGCTACACATAAACTGCTTCATGGTGATGTTTTTACATTATGCACATGTATGCAGACAACCTGACAAGTATTATAGAACTTTAAGAAAAAACCTAAGGGGCTTATTAAATATCTTCAGTATCATAGTCCTGAATTTCTTCTGTGTAATCTAAGGTTTCATAAACGGTCACAAAATTGAAGCAGTGACAGAGTCATAAAAAATATGACTGCGTGAGTTATCAGAGGCACACGTACATGTTTAAAAAAATTTAAAACAAAACGGGGATGTATCTATAGCTGAATACAATCACTGTATTCTCATTAAATCCAAGGGGGAAACCCTCAAATACTTTGTTCTCTCCTAAAATCAAAAGAATAAATGCTTTCAGGAGTGTTTTAATACCAAGTCACTAATCTGCCTATGATAGGTCTGCACCATAGCTACTAATGTTTATAGTAGCTTTATTTTATTGTTTTTGGGGCCATGCCCTGCAATTTGTAGGATCTTATTTCCTCAACCAGGGACTGAATCTGCACCTTCAGTAGTGAAAGCACACAGTCCTAACCACTGGACAGCTAGGGAATTCCCTACAGTAGCTTTATTTTTAATAAACAAACGTGGCAAGCAGTACAGAACAAGTATCCATCAACTGGTGATGAATTAATACACACACTGCAGAACACCACCCAGCAACAAAAAGGAACACACTTGATACACATAACTGCCAAGGATGAACCTCAAAAGCACCAGCCAAGAGAAAGAAGCTGGACCCAAAGACAGTGTTGCGATAATGTATGATTTCCCTTAGATGGCTTTAGATGGTCTTCTGGAAAAGGCCAAACTACAGGGAGAGAAATCAGATAGGTGGGTGTCAGAATTTGAGGTTGAAGGGGCATGGACAGACTCCAAAAGACCACCAGGAACTTTCGAGGTGATAGAAATGTTCTGTATCTTGATGGTAGTGGTACCTCCATTTCTCAAAACTCACTGACCACCTAAAAGGGGCAAATTTGACTAAGTGTGAACTATGCTTCCATAAACCTTAAATCTTATTTGCCCAAACACTCCACATTATGGGAAGTATTTTGCTACATTTATCTGAGGTGAATTTCACCTGTGCTCAAGACTGTCCTATTACACTGGGCAAAACCACCAGGATGGTCTCACAGCCCCAGAGCCAGGCTGGTCACTGTGGCACTGGAGTGGGGTTTTAATAGGCTTCTCCGTGCCAGAACATCAGCATTCCAATTGAGAACTGGAATATTGTGCATTTGTCTTTCAGTTGGTTAATCTCTCCATGGCTGGTATGTATTTCTGTCACTCCCCAAGAATGGGGAGCTCTTTAGGAAGGCGAGGACTCCCACTCCCCCTCACACATCAACTCAGCTCTCCCTTTTTCTCAAAATAATGCCTTGTACATAGCAGGTGTGTAACAGTTTTAAAATAATCAAGTTCTATAACCTGTGTGCCCCCCAAAATTAATACACTGAAACCCTATCCCCTAAAGTGACTGTATCTAGAGAGAGTGACTGTGGATGATAAATAAGATCATTAGGGTGGGGCCTTAATCTCAGAGGGTTGAGGTATTTATAAGAGGGAGACACCACAGGTCTCGTGGTTCAGTATGAGCGGACAGAAAGAGAAGGCAGCTCTCTGGGATCCAGCAAGAGTTCTCATCAGGAAACAAATTGACTGGCACCTTGATCTTGGACTTCCTAGACTCTAGAAGTGTAAGAAATAAATTTCTGTTGTTTAAGCTTCCTGATCTGCGGTATTTTGTTATGGAGGCCTGGGCAGACTTTTAAACTCTACATTTTGCTGCAAAGGTTAATACATTTAAGGAAAGGACTTTCAATAGAATCAGCTCAACTACATATTTATGTTCCTTGCTGTTGTTGTTCAGTCACTAAGTCATGTCCAACTCTTTGCGACCCCATGAACTGCAGCACACCTGGCCTCCTTGTCCCTCACTATCTCCCGGAGTCTGCCCAAGTTCATGTCCATTGAATCAGTGATGCTATCCAACCATCTCACCCTCTGTTGCCCTCTTTTCCTTTTGCCTTCAATCTTTCCCATCATCAGGGTCTTTTCCAATGAGTAGATAATTGTTCGCATCAGGTGGCCAAAGTATTGGAGCTTCCTTGGATTAACATGTAAAGTGATACTATAGTGTTGTGTTATAATAACAATGGCTAACATTAAGTGCTAACTCTTAGCCAGGCTTCTTTACAGTGACCCTATGAAGTAGGTACAAAGGCACTGAAACGTAAATTTTTAACCTAGAATAAGTTGTGCTGTGCTGGTGGTGCTGCTGCTTCTGCTGGTGTCATGGTGGGCCTGGAGGTGGCGGTCTCCAGGGCTTCTGCTCTTCATCAAACATCCATTTACACCAATTAATGCATCTTGAAAAGTTTCTAATAATACATAAATATTTTTAAAGTTGTAAAAAAAAAATAACTTGATGCTGGGGTTTAAGACTGTTTCCCAAAAGACCCCAACAGAAAAACATGTACAGGTACATCGTACTGGGTAAAATGAGGCCAAAAAATACTTGCTTTTAAGTAGTAATCTTTCTCATTCTCTCTCGTTTAAAGTATAAAGTCAGAATAACAATGTATTCTTTTCATTTTTAAAAATATTTATTTATTTGGTTGCATCAGGTCTAAGTTGCATCATGTGAACTCTTAGTTGCGGCATGTGGGATCTAGTTCCCTGACAAGGGATGGAACTCTGGTTTCCCTGCATTGGGAGTGCGGAGTCTCAGACGCTGCACCACCAGGGAAGTCCCAGGGTCACAATTTATTAATTTGCATAAAACCAAAATATTTTTGTTGGCCTCAGTGCACTGCACTCTTAGTATGAAAGCTACAAGGGAGGTTAAATTATCAGAGGTCTAGAGGCAGTAAGCATCGAGGGTGAGGGCTCTTCCTCTCACTACTTGTGTGACTTTCTTCAAGTCCTTAGCTTCCCCTTTCATTAAATCAACAAATAATTGAGCAACTCTGTTTTAAGAGCTGGGACCTGAGATCTTTTTTAATGTAGTGGTTTACAAATAAGCGCTGCTTATCTGCATCCCCTAAGTTTTGGAACATTATAGTTTGGGGCTTCCCTGATAGCTCAGCTGGTAAAGAATCCTCCTGCAATGCGGGAGATCTGGGTTTGATTCCTGGGTTGGGAAGATCCCTTGGAGAAGGGAAAGGCTACCCACTCCAGTATTCTTGCCTGGAGAATCCTGTGGATGGAGGAGCCTGGTGGGCTGCTGTCCCTAGGGTCGCACAGAGTCGGACACGACTGAGGCGACTTAGCATGCATGCATATAGTCCATGGGGTCGCAAAGAGTTGGACACGACTGAGCGATGTTTACATATGATATTTTTACTTATGTCAAGATATTTTCTAATTTCCCTTTTGATTTCTTCTTAGACCCACTGCTTCTTTAAGAATGTTATTTAATTTCCACATATCTGTGGATTTTCCAGTGTTCCTTCTGCTTTGCTTTCTAATTTCATTTCTATTAAGGTTAGAGAAGATGCTTTGGGTAGTAATAAACTTGAGAAGATTGCATTCCCGGGGATAAATTATTATATCTACTTCATAAATTTGTAGGGAGGATTAAATAACCTGAATGAAGCACTCAGAAGTGACTGGGCAGACCATTAAGTGAATACACGGCAGCTGTTACACGAAAGCCCATTCCACTGGAAAAACTGGACGGCAGAATGCGCCCCGCCCAGGGGCCTCCCATAGCCTGGTGGGCCCGGTCTCGCCGTGCTCCTATCACCAGGCTTCCGCTCTCAGCCCCCGGGGTCTGTCCTTCGGTCCCCGTCCCCCACCCCCTTCCCGGGTCCCTTGGTCCCCGCCCCCGTGCCCTGACCCATCCCCAGGCTTGTCCCCCGCCCGTCCCACGTTTCCCATGCCCGCTCGCCGCCGCGCACCTCTTCTTCGCCCGATGGTCCACTCCCGTTTCCTCAGGAGGACGTGCGGCTCGCCCTCCTCGGCGCCCAGGCGAAGAAGCCTCCCCCAAGGCTGCTGCTGGGGCGGCTGCTCGCCTTCCCCCGGCCGCTCCATCGGATTCACATCTGACGAGACCCGGAAACGTCGGGTGAGACCCGGACCGCAAGGGCAGAGGCTGCGGCCTGCCGCTCCTCCTCGGCGCCCGCGCCCCGCCGCTGCGGCCCGCGCCGCGAGCCTCCCCAGTGTCCTGCCGGACGCCCGCGCCCGTCGCCAGCTTACCCCCCGCCCCGCGCCGAACCCGGAACCGGCCGCGCTGCCACCGCTGCTGTCAACAGACATCGCAGATCCCTCAGCTGATCCACTGGGCGGGGCCGGCGGCGTCCTTGCCCTGCGATTGGCGGGCGGTGGCAACCACTGAACACGGCGGCTAGAGTGGAACCTGGAGGACGGGCATCGAGAGTGGACACGTGGAGGCTAGCAGAGCGTGCGCAGAGGATAGGCTGTGGGCTTGGATGCCATTTTTGATGCTGGCCGGGACGACTTGGTGTTCGCGGATCTCGGAAGTAGCTGAGGTCAGCCTCATGTTAAGTCCGCGCAAAGGGGACAGAGTAACGAGCATTGGGCACCGAAGCAAATTCCCAAAGCTGCGTTGGAAGTGTCGATGGCGTTTAGAAGTGCGAAGCGACGGTCTGCCTTACATCTGACGAGGTACATGCAAGTTGAAATTTTCCAAAGCCAGTTTTCCGGCGATCGGAAAGTACCTGGGAGAGCTCTGGAAAGCGCGAGCATCTCCGCATTGGTCGGCACCTCTTGGAGGCCGTGATGCAGTCTTTCCGTTTTAAACGCACGTTTCCTGGACTCAAGCGATTCCGCCTTTTGGGATCTGGTGGCGCTGCGGTGAGTGTTCCAAAGAATGATCTGGGATCGTCCGTGCTGGGCGCGTGAGAGTGAAGGAGTCCTGGGAGCCCACCGTGCGGCCTCGGGCCGTGCGAGGCCACGTCTGACCGACCAGGACGTCTACAGGGAAGTAGCCACCCGTTGGTGTAAGAATAAATGGGTCCATAGTTTTGTTTCACAAAAACAATGTGAAAGGACAGGAAATGCCTTGTGAAGAAAGAGTAGCAGTCACGGGAGTGAGGGAGCCATCTTACATCATTTGTAGTTTTTACCCTTTTCGTTCATTACATTTTCCCCTTCAAATAAGAAAATGCAAATATTTTTTCTCTGAGACTGTTTCTCAGTATTATTTTGTGGGGGACTTTGGCTACTGCACTTGTTCTCTGAACCAGGGCTTAGCCTGGCATCGGGAGTTCTCTGAGGGCTTTTTTCAGTCTACACAAGGCAGACTTTTCATAGAACCAGGATGAAGCTGAGCCAAAGGAACAGCCCACTCTTCATGGGTGACAGTTTTCTGAACCTCGGGGACAGTGAGCCAACTCAGGCTAAAGCCCCATGGCAGCTAGTGGTAAAAAAAAGTGCATCTCTCCTGTTAGTCGCAGATTCAGTACATAGGAAAGGCCAGAATTGAAAATTCCTCTTTTAGATGGAAGAGAATCAAATCGCAGCTCCCTATTGGACATTTTGGGTATTGGAGACACGATTGAGAGGCTAATCAGGCCTTTTTGTTCAAGTGAAAATACCATACTCCATAACATGGCTGGCCTAGCTCCAGCAGCAGCTTGGCTTTACAAGGACTGGCAGCTACCGTCAGGTTGAAACCTTATCCTCTCTGCCCTTCCCCCGCCCCCAACCCCTTTCACCTCAAGCAAATTCACTGGGTCAATAGGGTCCTTGATTCGCAGATATTCTCTTAAAGTCTGGACTTAATTCACTCATGGTTTGGTTTTGGTGTCGAGCAGGTCCCCGTGGCTCACCAGCTATGTAGATATGAAAGCAGTCATACTCTACTTAATGGCCAGAACTGAAGACTGTTCTCAGAGCTCTGGCCAATACTCACCTTGATTTTTTCACCCTCAAATTGTTGCCAGTGGTGTGGTTGTCTGATCTGTCATTTTGAAGAGTAGACCGACAGATTAAAGACATTAGTCTTTGGGGTTGCAGTCTATTACAAATGGTGGCAGCTTATCAGACTGTCTGGGGCTTCCCTGATAGCTCAGCTGGTGAAGAATCTGCCTGCAATGCAGGAGACCCAGTTTCAATTCTTGGATTGGGAAGATCCCTTGGAAAAGGGATAGGCTACCCGCTTCAGTATTCTTGGGCTTTCCTGGTGGCTCAGATGGTAAAGAATCCACTTGCAATGCAGGAGACCTGGGCTCGATCCCTGTGTTGGGAAGATTCTCTGGCAAAGGGCATGGCAACCCACTCCAGTATTCTTGCCTGGAGAATCCCCATGGACAGAGGAGCCTGGTGGGCTACAGTTCATGGGGTTGCAAAGAATCAGAGACAACTGAGTGACTAAGCACAGCACAGCTTCAGACTGTCTAGATCAGTTATAGATGTATTGGGGCTTCCCTTTTAGCTCAATTGGTAAAGAATCTGCTTGCAGCACAGGAGACCTGGGCTCAATCCCTGTGCTGGGAAGATCCTCTGGAGAAGGGCATGGCAACACACTCCAGTATTCTTGCCTGGAAAATCCTAGGGACAGGAGCCTGGCAGGGCACAGTCCATGGGGTTGCAAGAGTCAGACATGACTTAGTGGCTAAACCACCATTTTTTATGAAAACAAACAGAATTAAGCTCTCAAACCTGCCCCTTCCTGATCACTGACTACCACCTGCAATAGAAATCAGCCTCAAAATTCCAGGGTACCCCCCATCATAGGCTGGCAGACGTAAAGGATTTTATGTTCCTGATGTAGAAGCCAGCAGGTAACTTGGGAGGTGGCAAAGCTTATGCTTTGTTCTGTTGAGGGGGACTTGTATCTCCTGCCAAAAGTTGCCCCACTGATTCTGTCTTAAAAGAGGACAAATAACTTGGGGTGCTGACCTCCCTATTCCTGGGAAACGATCTGCCCTTTGACCCCTTCTCAGGGCTGCCAGTGATGTCTCACCACTGTTGACATTTTTTCAGAAGAAGGTGGTTTTAACTATCTGCCCTTTGACCCCTTCTCAGGGCTGCCAGTGATGTCTCACCACTGTTGACATTTTTTCAGAAGAAGGTGGTTTTTCATCTGATCAGCCAATTCTGGACACATTGACTTGGCCCTTGAAATGAAATGAAACTGAATACATGTTTTTGATTGGCCCATTTGCCATCTAACAATGATCCATTTTTTGTAACAAAGTTTATACAACAATGATAGACTTGGCCCTTGAAATGAAATGAAACTGAATACTTGTTTTTTATTGGCCCATTTGCCATCTAACAGTGATCCGTTTTTTGTAACAAAGTTTATACAACAATGACTGATAGTCAAGGTATTAAAGGGACCTACCAAACTCCTTCATCGTTTCCTCTTCTACTCACCTAAATTGGGTTGTTTGGTTACTGTATTAATTTCCCATTACTGCTGTAACTAATTATTGCAAATTAGTGGCTTAGAATAATACAAATTTAACAGTTTTTGAGGCTAGAAGTCCAAAATGGGTCTCGTTGGGCTAAAATCAAGGTATTGGCAGAATGTATTCCTTCTGAAGTTTCTAGGGGAGAATATGTTTCCTTGTCTTTTCCAGCATTCCTTGGCCCATGGCTTCTTCCTCCGTCTTCAAAGCCAGCATTGCCCAGCTAAGTGTTTTTCAACATGCTATGTCTCTGTTTCTGACAAGTACCTCTATCTTTCACCTGTAAGGACCCTTGTGATTAAATTGTACCCACCTGGATAATCCAGAGTATTCTCCCTATCTAAAGGTTCATAATTTCATCACATAAAGAGTTACTTTTGCTGTGTAAGGGAACATATTCACAGAGAATAGGAAGTGGGCATAGTTGGAGGTCACTATTCTGCCTACCCCAGTTTCCAAACTCTGCTGTTTTTAAATCTCTACTTGCCTGACTCCTGAATAATACTTAAGAAAAAATCGTAGGGAACTTCCCTTGTGGACCAGTGGTTAAGAATCTGCCTGCCAGTGCAGGGGACGTGGGTTCAGTCCCTGGTCTGGGAAGATTCCACGTGCTGTGGGGGCAACTGAGCCCATGCTCTAGAGTTTACAAGCCACGACTACTGAAGCCTTCGTGCCCTAGAGCCTGTGCTCTGCAGTAAGAGAGGCCACCACAATGAGAAGCCCTCACACCACAACAAAGAATATCCCTTGCTTGCTGCAACTAGAGAAAGCCCGAGTGCAGCTGTGAAGACCCAGCACAGACAAAAATAAGTAAAAAAAGTTAAAAAAAAAAAAAGAAAAGAGTGGTAGGGAAATATGTGAGATTATACAGACTATTTTTTAGGTTTCCACCCTAACCATTCCCTGGAATGGTGCTTCCTTGTTTCACTGATGAGCAACAATAAGCAGGCCTGAGTGTTATCCCTTCCAGGTGGCTATCCAGAAGTAATCCTAAGGGATGAAAACAAAGTTTAATTCTGCTTTGTTCAGCTGAATTTTCTAGTTGGAGTAAGACAGTCTTGAATCATGAGAATAATTATCACTTGATTAAGTGCACTGCTTTCTCACTCCCCCTTCAGTGGCCTACATAGGCGAAAGTAGGAGATACGGTGAGTCTCTGAAATTTTTGTAAAAGTGCTTTTGTCTCAGTCCACGACTTCATATGAAAAGCCTGGGTGTGAAATTGAGTTAATTGTTGGAAAGATAAAGATATAACTTCTGAATTGGAATACACTGAAGAGAGAGCAGCAGTGTTGGTAATTTGGAGCAGGGTGACCCTATGTCCTGCGAGGTCCAGGGAGTTAATGGAGGTAGCCAGTGTTCTCTTTGCCCCCCTCATTCAGCACTGATTCAACAGCTGTAGCTGGCAGTCTGACCTGCAGGCAAATTTGTCATGTTCACCCGTACCCTTTAAAAGCAGAAAAACTTGGCTGATTCATGTCAATGTATGGCAAATACCACTACAATATTGTAAAGTAATTAGCCTCCAATGAATAAAAATAAATGGAAAAAAAAAAAATAAAAGCAGAAAAAGTGATTTCCAGATTCCAGGCAATGTGTAATGAGTTTCAAGTTGTCTCTCCCAGCCTCACAACAACAGCAACAACAACAAAAAAAGCTGAAGAAGCTGGGAATCAACTGTTCTTCTCAGATCTAATAGATAATTGATCCTAAAATTGTAGAGACAGGCAAATAAAGGGAATCAAAACTTACTGGTGCAGAAGCCACTACTGGAGGCAGTGCCTGTGTGCCTACTCGGTTGCTTCAGATGTGTCCTATTTGCGACCCTCTGGACTGTAGCCTGCCAGGCTCCTCTGTCCAAGGGATTCTCCAGGCAAGAATACTGAAATGGGTTGCTGTGCCCCCCTCCAGGGGATCCTCCTGACCAAGGGACTGGAGGCAGTACCAGGATATTAAAACTACAATTTAATTGGAAAATTCCTGGAGGCTCAGTGTAGACAAGCTTGAAAGTTAACAACTCCAGAGAGTGCCAATTTTAGAGGGGCCTTTACACTCATGAATTTTACCCCCAGCGACCAAAGCACTCCATGTGCTCCTTGTAGGGGTAGGAGAAAAGTAACCATTTTGAATACACCCTGAGTATTCTGTTCTCCTTAACAAAAGTCTGCCCTCCAAGGGAAACTGTTCTACCAGAATTTCACCTACTGCGGTTTACTGGTACCTACATGACATAGGGGAAGGAAAAACCCCAATTTCAACCTCCTCCAGCCTGCCTGGCACATGTGGGAAGGGAAACACCCAATCCTAGTCTTCTCTAGCCTGCCTATCTCACCTGAGGTAGGGGAGCAAGGAATAGAACAAAACCTGAGAAACACTTGTAAGATCATAGCCCAGGAATACAGACTCAATTAAATACTGAGACTTAATAAGTTATAT